CAATGCTGAAAGGCTTTGACTTGACGCAACAGCTTCTATCAGCATATAGTGAATGGATAGTCTGTTGCAACCGGTCGTCGATCCCATTTGTTCGTAGGCATGCCCGTAGACTGTTGCGCGAGTTCCGGTCAGAGGCTTTCTTTAGGTTAACAAACCACACATAAACTAGATGAGCCAACTATGACGATTGACGGAGGTTTGACGTGCTTCAGCAGGATCTGAAGCCAATTTATTTTTCTTGTACTTGGAATCATTTATATCACGGAATGTTCTTTCTAGCACGTTGTCATAGACTTTTCCCGAAGCTCAGTGAGATAATGTCCTAATGATTGTAGCACTAACTATAATATGTCTTCTTGAACGGTGTTGATGGAACCAACGTTCTCCAGTTCGCTGATTTCTTCTCTACTTTAAACATTTCAGGATAGATTTTATCGACCCCAGGAGCCTTGTCACTCTTGAAGGATTTTACAGTTTGTATGATTTCATCAACATGTATAACTATACCCGCTTCCTGCCGCTCTACAAGTGAGTCTTGATGCAGTTACTCAGGGTTAAGGAGTTCCTAAAGGTACTCTCTCCATCGTTGAATATTGTCCTCATCCTCGATAGAAGGGTGTTCAGATCTGTTCTTCAATACTCTTAGACTGCCCTTCTTTACACCTCGGAATTGGGGAATGATCTGCCGGAATAAATTGTTTGCCGTCTGGAAATTAGTCTCTAACTCCTCACCAAATTCTCTAAGGAATCATGTTTGGCTTTCGCCACTGCTTCTGCTGTCGCCTTGCATGCTACAGTGTGTCGCATAAAAGGCTTTCTGCTTCCAAGCCGTTTCTTGAACGCAGCCTTCTTCTCTTTAACTGCCAGTTATACCTCTCGCGTCGACCAAGAAGATCTTTCCTGACTTTCAGGCGGCAGACCAACCCGTTTGAATCCGCAGCATTCGGCTTCAGCCTCCAGAATGCCGCTTTTCAAGTACTCCGACTCGGTTTCACATCTGGATATGTGCAAACCGTGTTGAATGCAAGTTTCGCCCTAGTATCTGTGGAAGATGATATTTCCACGCGGCAGAGCACATTCCACTTCCTTAAGAAACGACTGATTTAATCCATCTAAATTAGATGCATACAACTTTAACAATGTCAGCGCTTTAACCGTTGTATGAAGGATTGCCACTCTTGCGCCGTCAGGTTTCCATTCACCTTTCTGGACCAGGTTGGGTTCTGCCAGAACAAGGACACCTTGCTGGTTTCGACAACTGAGTAGAATAGCTGATATCAGCAGAAGTTCAAGATTTCAGAGCTTTGGCTTTTGGTTGACGGGAGTTCAGCAATATGGAATTGACACGTTGCGGCCTTTTCAACGATTTGCTGTTCTTTACTTCAGTGTGAGGATATATAGCAATTTCCGACTGTAAATTTCTCGTGGTCCCTTTTCTGACGTGCTATAATGGCATCG